CGATGCGCCTGTACACCACTCACTCCCGACCACTTTCATCCCCCCAAAGGCTTGCGATGTCGAAGCGCAGGAGAAGCTGTGGCGCGTGTCTCTTCAACTGGTTGGGCTCGACCGTGAAGAAGACGAACGGACAGAGGACTAAACATTATTTGGGGGGGGGTGCGTGTGTGTGCGTAAATATGTAGAATGTGATGAATGTGTTTTTTTTGACGCGGCTTAAGAGTGGTGAGACATCCCCTCGGGATGGTCCAGTCGCTACGTCGCCGCTCGCTCACGGACCGGCCGGGAACTCCTTGGACTCCTGGGCGAAGGCCTTCACCGCATCGTTGGCCAGGCCAGACATTTCGATCTCCTTCTCCACCTCCTGCTCGATCTCCTCCCGCTGCTCGATGGTCTTGATGGTAAACTCCTGCATCTCGTGCACGTCCTCCAGCTCCGAGCGATCGGCCTTGACATTGGCTTCGCTGTCCGACGCCAGGCGATCGTTCCACCCGGGCGCGTCGGGCACGTCCGACACTGCTTTTCCTGTGTGTCGTGCGTGCGTGTGGCGTGTGGCGTGTGCGTGACGTCAGCGAATAATATTTGTCGACGAGCCGCTGCGCAACGGGTGTTGGCGGGGGGGGGGCAGGTGCCTTCGAGATTGATCCTCTTCTGCTTCTCGGCCTCCCGCATGCTGAGCTCGGGGTCGTCGGGTTCAGCGATGGGCGGGTCGTGCGAGATGAAGGTTCGGGCGGACATCGCCATCATCGGATACTGTGGTCGGCCCACAGTCGCAGCCAAAGCCAAAGTAGGTCGCCCTCGCAGCCCGCTCGCCATCATGTTCCTCCTTCCAGCGTACATTGTCTCCTCTTCAAGTGTAAGTGTTGTGGTGTCGTGTTTGTGCTTTTTTCAAAAGATGAAAGCCAAGCACCCTTTATGGCACACTTGAGTGAGGATCACTGGTGATGTCGTGTCGGGTCCAGGCAGTACGTTCGAGTCCCAGGGATTCGGTCGGGTGGTCGATCACATTCCAACTGAATCGGTGCCTATTCGGTCCAGTCCGTGGAATCCTGCAGACAAAATAAAGTTGATAAAATTCTTCCAATCAGCGCTTGCGTCGTTTCGCTCCTACTTTTTTTGTTCACGGCCGGTGACTCTAGGATCACCGGTGGCTTGTTGCATTGGTGACGCTTGTATGTATCCTACACCACCACTGAACAGAGGCACCAGCCTTCGTGAATGGAGAGGCCGCGTGTTTGAGCTGGACTGGTGGCCGGCTGGTGTAATGGGTAGTGCACACCAGCTCCCCTTGGGGAAAGCGGGGCTACTGGGCCACCAGCTTTTAAGCCCACCTGAGCCCGGATTCAAATCATCAATCAACAGCCAACTCTCCCAACTACCACCCTCAGCTCTACTACTCAACGATGAAGCTTTCAACTGTCCTTCTGGTCGTGTGCCTGGTTGCCTTGGCTGCCACAGTTGCGCTCAGCGCTGAAGGTTCTGCACACTTCATAGTGAGTCAAGAACATCACAAACCCTAACCCTCTTCTTCTCTGGTGCGGTGGTGGTGCGGTGCAGTTCAAGGTGAGCGCCGGGGCGAAGGCGGCCGTGGCCACGACTGCGAGAAGACCACCACGAAGAAGCATGACTGCGAGAAGACGACCACCAAGAAGCACGAGTGCACCACCACCAAGAAGCACGACTGCGAGTGCACCACCACCAAGAAGCACGGCTGCGAGACGACCACCAAGAAGCCCGAGTGCACCACTACCAAGAAGCCCGAGTGCACGACCAAGATGCCCTGGGACGATGACAAGAAGGAGTGCTACTGGAAGTGCTACAAGGTGTGCCCCAAGAAGCCCGACCACACCTCGACGACCACCAAGAAGCACAGCACTACCACCAAGAAGCACACCACGACCACCAAGCATTGCCCCAGGCAGTAGTGCCTCCACGCCGACGGAGCACTAGGAGGGACACTAAGGCTGACCCCGCCTCGCCTCATCTCATACTCTGGAGCCCTTAGCATGCACCTCAAACAATTCTAAATAATAAAGGATATTAATTATCGCTTCTTTAGAATCCATCTTTGTGGCGTTTCAGTGCAACGGGCGGTGTATGTACAGAGTAATGAAGGAGTCGAAGCACATCAGGGAGCAGTCAAAAGTGGTGAGCACTCATCGCTGACGTTGCCTCCGCTGCAGGAGTGCAGGTGGCCCGCCCTGTATTGCTCTGTCGACCGCTGGCCGGCGGTTGCGGCGGCCAGAGCAGCCAGGGCGCTGTAGCCGAGTACGCCCACCGATATCCAGCAGGCCATGATGATCTCCGGGGTGGTCTTGCTGTTGAAGATCACCACTGACAGGCCCCAGACCACCACCACCGGCACCGTGGCGTCGGGGTACCCCGCCTGGCCTGCGAAGAACAGCGCCACCACGTCGGCCATCACTATCAGTGCCACCGGCAGCGCCGGCGCCGTGACGCCCACCCATCCCAGTTGTACCTCGACCGACGGTACGTTGATGCAGCTGGCCAGATTCATGGCCGTGGGCAGGTAGAAGACGGCCCAATGGAACAGGGCCGAGCCGAAAGCGCGCCAGCGGGCGGTTGTGGTGGGGTCGTGGAGGAGGGCGGTGAAGGGCGCCACAATGTCGGTTGCATAGCGTGGGTTGGTGATCCGCTCGTAGGCCACCGAAGGAAGAACACGAGCGCGATGACGAGCAGAGCGTTCGAGAAGACCGGCCAATCCTGCATCAGCGTTGAATGAGAGACGACGAAGGATTTGGCGTTAAGATAAGGCATACCTTTTGGAAGAACTCGAGAGTGGCCCACACGAGGAGGGTCAACCGCAAAGCAATCCTCCGGCTGATAATGCTCCATAAAATTCATTAAATTCTCCGACACGTTTCGCAAACCTATTTGACGAAAGAAATTGTTTATTTTACTTTTTTTACGAGCTGGTCGAAGTGGCGGCCGTGTGCTTGATGCGCGCCAGACGCTCCTTGAGGGCCTGCACCGCGTCCGTCGCCGTACTGCTGGTCGTCGAGGCAGCCGACGGGCCACGGGCCACGGGGGCTGCGCCCAGATCCGATGACAACGACGTCGAGGCGTCGCCCGCTGCGGCGGGAGTCGTCGACGTCGCCACGCCGGCCGAACGCAGAACGGTGCTGAGCCGCGCCCGCAGGTCCTGAATCGACGCGCCACCGGCAGAGGAGAGGTTGGGCTTGGTGGCGGCGGCGATGGAGGTCAGGGAGGCGAGCGATGAGGTGGAGTCGGCCGCTGACGAGGTGGACAGCAGAGCGCTGCTGGTGGACAGGCCCGGCTTGGCAGCCGTCTGTCCGTATCGCTTCTGCAGCGCTCGCAGCTTGTCCATGTACACACTCTCCGAACCTGCACAAGTGAGCGAAGAAGAAGAAGGTGAGTTCGGGAAGCGCTCTACACAAATGCGATGTATGACCAAGACAAGAGATTGATCACGTTACCTGATGAAGCGGCGGTATTGGAGGTGTTGGCGTG